GTCTTATGATCTTCTGATAGCTTTCTTTTTGTACCCTCCAGTGTTGTTCGCGTCGATGCCAACTTACAGGTAAATTTATACTACTTTACAAAAGCTGTTGATAGATCCAACCAGGTTTTGACTTCTTCAGACTTCAAATTTGAATACCAATCTAGAGCATCTCCCTCAAAACTTTTCGAAAATAGACGCATAGGTAAATTATCATCATTCACGGGTTTACCTAATTTCTTGGCAAATATCTTGAGATGTGTCTTAGGATTTCCAGTTCCATCATATTTATTGAACTTGGGGGTTTTGAATCCCAACGGTAATTGAATATCTGGAAAAGAGACAATTCATCGTAGTCCAACCCACCATGCCTGCTCAATCGTTGATTCTTTTTCATAAATTCATCGAATCTATCCAATCTTCTCAATAGATCCTTGTCAATAGGTGCGGATTGTTCTTCCATTGCCGCCTTTCCTTGAGAGGCTGTATCCAACACAAAAGGCTCTTTAATGTGGTAGTGGGGTCCCTGAGGGTTGGGGAGAATGTTCAGATTGATTTGTAGATAAGTTTGAGAGATATGACTACTGGTTGGGTTCATCAATATGTAATTCGGATGTACATAGGAAAAGTTTAAATTCAGTCGAATAAAGGTATTTTCAAGACGATTAGTGAAAGGTGGAAGGAAATTTGTTTGGATATTAGATTTGTGGGGCGGTTGATGGTCTTGTACAGGTGGGTGATTATTGACACATTCCTGATCATTCGGGACACCACCACCACTGTTGCTTGCAACCAACTGATCAATTACGCGCCTTTGTGCGGCCATTTCAGCACACAACTCATTAAACTTGCCAAGTACTTCAATTAACTGAGCTCTCAAAGCAGTCAAATCTGATGACACAACTAGGGTTGATCTCTCCGAAGTTTCTGGCACTAAACTCATGTTTACAGATTGTCTCAAGACTCTACTTCGGGACCTAGTGAAGATGGGGCTTCTTCGTAAAGCTATTTAAAAATACCTAAGAGAGTAAAGGAGAAACTGATTTACAAATTTATTCTCGACTAGATTTGTCGAACTTTTATTTCGAAAGAACAAAAAAATAAAAAATAAAAGAGTTAGGAAATATTTAAATAATCCAGATGCATGTCCTATGGGGAGCCCTTTTCTGCCAAGGGTCGGCCTAGTATGATGTAACACCTTCAAAATGAGGCCTGTTCACCAAACCTGTGTTTCAGAAATAACTTTGCAAAAGATAAGGATCATTTCATTGATGAACTTCAAAATCTCATACATCATCTACATCATTTCTCGAAGTTGATTTTGTACAAGTTATTAAACTTTTCAATCTATCTATCACAGCGTCTTTTAACTCTCTGGAATAGGGATTCTGCATGTGTTCAGATTGATCATACAACTTGCTACACTTTCTTTTTAACTCCTAGTATTTTTCCTGCATTTCTTCACACAGTCTCTTATTCTTCTCTGCCAGACCCTTGTTCACTTCCATAGATTGCTTTAATTGTGCATTTTTTCTATCATTCACCTCAATGATAGTCATTAATTTCTTGACTTCCTCGGACTGTTCCATCGATGGTCGTTTAGCATTAGATTCTCTAAACCACTCCTCGTATTGAGAGGTAACTAAAGCCATCTGCTTAAGTTATGGAACATAAGCGATATCCTCATCATCGGACAGTGTTCCCTAGGTTTCGACAGTTGATATTTTCATCAAAATTTTATCCAGACAAATCCCTTTGTCAAAACTGATGGTGAAACTAGTCAAATTAGGTGTAAGTGGTACTCCTTGAATGCATCCTAGCTGTCTGAGAAACCTTTTTGGAGTGTATGTCATGATGCTTTGAGTTCCCAATAGCGGTATGAAATCTGATGACTTGGCGTGCAAAGCGGGGTTGAAACAGTCGGTCCAGTCTAGCACCCATCTAATATTTTGATCTGGCAATACCCTCAAAAAGTCCAACAATTCTGATGCATTTCTTGGCAAATGACTTCTGTCAACTCTCTTATGATATGTAGCTATCCAATTATACTCAATCAACGGTAGACTATCAGGAGCAGGCAACTGTTTTCGAAAATGTTCCATAACTATATATGTAAGATTCGATTTGACCCATAAAAGAACTTTGACCCTTTTGGCAATTGGTACACGCAACAAAAATGTCAGCCAATACAGTCGGTACTATAGAGGCTTGTTGATCCTTAATTCCAAAAAACAAGTCAGACAGGAGTTTAGTGATTCTAGGGAACAAATAAATCCCTGCCATCACAAGTCCATATACCAGTGGCCTCTTACGTTCCCATGTTGCCTTAGATGCAAATGAAAAATCCTTCGAATGCTTATCAAATCCGTCTTTCATTGCGAATCTATCAAACAAAAATTTTATAACTATGTTTTGATCTGATCCTCGCACTACAGACTCTTTTAACCCAGTAAATGGCAAAACTCGGTCTTACCAGAAACAACCAGAAATATCACTGCTATACCCTTTACTGGCAAATTCAGAAGACCGGCTGCCTTTTCAATTGTCAGAATCAGCTCCTTGTTTCCTATCCTAAAGTTGAATCGTTGGGATCCCACAGTTGAATTAAAGCCTCTACCAAATACCCATCTGATTCAATGTCTTTGAAATCTCCAATTAGCCTGAAGTAGGAGACAACCTGATTGATCTCACTAAATAAGAAAAGCCCTGGCCATCTTTGAATCTCCATTGGAACCGCTAACAGCTGACTAATTCATTGAGGTCTGTCCATCTGAAGCACGTAACATCGATTAAATACCTTACCTATAGGCCTCACTTCTCCAGTTTTACAAAAATTTAAATATGAATATCCCATGGAGGGTTAGTTACCCAGGGCAAACAAAGTTGGTACATTCCTAAAATGGGATTTCCTAAATGGCATTCCCTCTAGGGTTAATGCATGATGACAGTTTATTAAATGAATAAATATGCAATACGGTAATTGAAACATGATCTAAGTGTGCCCCATTTAGATGTCGGGGTGAGTCTAAAATGACATGCATATATATATACATAGTATTAATGCGAGAAACTGAAATTTAAACGTGCTATTTACAAAAGACGGTCTGCCCTAAGTGAGTACCACACCAGGACTTTTATTTATAGAATTTATGAATGCAATATAAGAAAATAAAATAATGGTTAGTTTAACAAACAATACATAACAGATTGGAGCAACAAAATAATACAAAAATATAATATAAAGAAAGAGAAAGAGGGGTAGAATCCCTCCCCTCGTGTCTAGTGCTCTTAATAAGGCAGATAAAGGCTCTATTCTTGGTGATTTCTAAATGAATGCATGAGATTGGATTCACTAATGCATCTAGACTCGATAAGATTTCAAGTTCCCAAACCTTCAGACGAAAGGGCGAAGGGTTATCAATCCCAAAATTCTTAGTCGGTAGCTCGAGTGATCCCCCAAACATTGCTATGTGCACGTCGTGTCACAGCCACATGTCCAACTGGATCGATCCTAATCCTAACAGGGAGGAGTGGTGTGACAACCACTAAAAGAAAAAGTAAGTTAAAGGATTAAAAGGAATAACGTATGCACATATGAAGTGCTCCTTTGAGGGGAGGAAGTAATATCATTAAATATGCATGAAGGCTCTAGGGTAATATCGCTCCCCATCCCCAAATGCAAAACGCGATACGAATAAGTAAATAGACAAACTATTCATCACATACACGAAAAACGAGAAACGAATACGAGTGTGAAATGCAAAATATCCTCAAAAAAAATGTAACTAAAACATCCAAATATGATAAGTGAAATGGTTAGAAAGAGAAAAGACAACTAAACCAAGTGCTTGGACTCTCTAGCGTCCCTAATGGAGTCGCCAAATTGTCGCGCCTCATTTTTTGCGATGAAAATCGTATTTATAAAAGATGTGATTTTTTTTAAAAAATAAGTGAAAAAAGGACCTAAAATAGGACTTCAACGAATGCGACAGTTTGAGTCCAAAATTTAGTCTAAAAGGGTTTTTAAGAAAAGTAGGAGTCGTCACTTGGTATTGAGTTTGGGGGTACCAAATCACCAAAAAAAAATATTTTTTTGAGAAAATTAAAATAAAACGTAAATAAAATAAAATCTTTTTTGACAATTCCAAATCTTTGAAGAACAAGAGAAAATGAGTTCGTGAGTCACGATTGAAGAAAGGGAAGGCAAAAATTCGATCGACTCAAACTTAAGGCACCCTTTCAACCTAGTCTAAACTAGTTGCGTGGTTTAATTAAAATTTCTCTAATCTAACTCTTAGATTTATCACGTTTGGATGTTTCCTATATGGATGCGATTTTAAATTTTAAAAAAAAATGTCGAAAGGGACAAAATGTCCATTCAAGATTTAATTGATATCAATCGCATTAATTGCAAAAGCCAAAATAATCCCTTAAAGGGTCACGAGCATGCATAAATGAAATTAAAAAAAAAAGAAAAGAAAAGAAAATTATATATCTAGATATAAGTGGCCAAACAATAGGTATGCAATATAATGGGTACGGGAGGCAAAAACTCGCGACATAATTTTCTTATACAGGGATTAATGGGGTATTTAAACTAAAAAGTTATAATCACCCATTTCCCATATTTAAATAATAATTCTCCTAACATAGACAAGCAAATGAACTAGTTTAAATGAGATGCAATTTTAAATGATATGATTAACACATATATAAGGTAGGGGGTAGAGGATAATATAATAAGAAACATCATGCAAATGAGAAAAAATCCTAAAAAATGTGCATGAAAATGTAATGAACGTCACGCAAGAGATGAATCTAACGCATGAACGATCTAAGGGTCTAGCGTTGGACTAACCCATTTCTAAAGAACTTTACTAGCATTGGACTAGCAAATAGATGGAGGGAAAATTCACAACTAGCGTTGGACTAGTGTGGTGACGCCATACATTAATAATAAATAGTAAAACAAATAAGACATAAATTAAAATAAATAAACACATAAGAGCCCGTAGCACATAACACGTAAGTATAATATTTAGATGCAAAAATTCTAAGGAAAGCGGGTAAAGCATATAAAACTTAAGCCACATAAACACACAAAACTTACCTATTACAACGGAGAATCTAACTACAATCTAAAATGGGAAAATATAAAAAAAAAAATAAACCTATGTATTTTATCTATTACAATAGGGGACCTAATTACAATCTAAAATGAAAAAAAAAAGATAAAATAAACATATTTATCCTATCTATTACATTGATCTATCTAATTATTATTTTTCAAAAATATTACCTATCTATTACATCTTGAAGTATTTAAACACCTATCAAATAATTATAAAATTAACTAAACAAACATAAGAAATTTTGAATGAACATTTGAATCAAATAAATAACAAAGTATATAAAAATATATAAACACATAGGAGCACGTAGGAACACATAAGAGGACGTAATTGATATTTAAATAATAATAGGAGTACCTCCCTTTTGAAGTGGTGGCTAAATGGAGTCAAATTACCCTATTTATATTCAAAATGAACAAAAGAATTATGGCACCAATTTAATTGGAAATAATAATGATGATAAAAATACTAAATTCACATTAATATGTCAAACATAAAGAAATTTAAGAACATCTAAAAATCACAAGTTAAGTATATTCAAAAGTAACATAATTAGCTATTAAAGAAAAGAAACAATTATAATAGAGAGAGTAAAAAATTCACTAGGGACTAAATTGCAAAAATTGAAAAAACTTTTGTGATAAAAAATATATTTTTTCAAAGTTTAGGGGTAAAAATTAAATAAAAGATAAAGTTTAGGGACCAAAATGCAATTCAATTAGGGGCCTAAGTGAAAGAAATTTAAAATTTTTGGGCCACAGTAAAACTACTCCAAAGATTAGGGGCTAAAGTGCAAATTCATTTTTTCTGATTTTTGTAAGAAAAGGGCTTTGGACCATTTATTTTTTATTTGCTTGGGCCGAAGCCATCCGGCCCAAAAGAAAAATATGGGATGTCTTCATAAAAATAAGGGAAAATCGTTCAAAACATCCCTCATATTTTACAAGATGACTTTTTTCGTCCCTCACTTTTAAAAATGTAATTTTATGTCCCTTACAAATTTATATTGACCAAATTTGGTCCCTACCTAGATTTTCCACTAGTTTTTGGTCGGAATCCACCACGTGACTTGCATGTGATAAATTTTGAAGGGCAAAATTGTCAAATCAAATTTTTACATAATCTGATTCATAGTCCCTCACATTTCACAAAATGAATTTTTTCATCCCTAACATTTTATAAAATGAATTGTTTCGTTCCTCACATTTCAAAAAATGAATTTTTCCATCCCTCACATTTTTCAAAATGATTTTTTTCATCCCTCATTGATCATGTGTGCGAATAACTTTTTTTCTATAAACCCACGTATATGTCAATTTGATTTTATCTGAACAGTATGAATAACATTTAATTTATCTCTATTAGATTTCATCTAAACATGCTAATCGTAGTTATACACATGCTATTCAATAGATATATATAGGGGTTTAAAACTAATAATTTTGTTTGAAACCCATGTATATATTTATATTATTTCACCATTTGAACCTATTCAATATTTGTGACCTTTCTCTTTTAGTAATAATTTATTTATTGAGTTGTATAATAAAGTCATCTAAGGTCATCTATTTTTTGAAACCCATGTATATATTTATATGATTTCACCATTTGAACCTATTCAATATTTGTGACCTTTCTGTTTTAGTAATAATTTATTTATTGAATTGTATAATAAGGTCATCTAATTAATGGGTCATAACTCGAATTCTATCATTGTGCTAACAAATTTCAGTTTAAATCTGAAATTTCTACTCGACATTTTTAAAACCAATAGTTGAATTACTTGCCTTGTGATTGTCTTAAAATTTGAAAGTGCCAATCACTTATTTCTTTTTGTCATACTTTTCTTTTGTTTACTTTTTCTATCCAAATTTAATTTGATATAAATACTCGATAATATTTAGGATTAAATGTCTTCTTTATTTTCAAATTTCGAGTAAAAGAAAATGAATATAAGTGAAAAACTAACAATTTTTTTAAACCCATGTATATATCTATTTGATTTCACTTGAGCAATACGAATAGTATGTAATATATCTCTATTTGATTTCACATGCTATTCGTACTATTCAAGTGAAATCAAATAGATATATACATGGATTTAAAAAAAATTATTCACACACATGATCAATAAAAAATGAAAAAATTCATTTTGAAAAATGTGAAGGATGAAAAAATTCATTTTGTGAAATATAAGGGACGAAAAAATTTATTTTATGTAATGTGAGGGTTTATGAATCGAATTATATAAAATTTAATTTGATAATTTTTCCCTTAAAATATGATCACGTGTAAGGCACGTGGTGAATTCCAACAAAAAACTAGTCGAAAACCTAAGTAGGGACCATATTTGATCAATGTGAATTTGTAAGGGACGTAAAATTACATTTTTAAAAGTGAGGGACGAAAAAAGTTATTTTGCAAAATATGAGGGACGTTTTGAACGAATTTCCCTAAAAATAAACACAAGCTCAGATGAAAGCCCCAAAAAACAAAACTCTAGCCCAATCGAAATTAAAATGAAAAGCCCATCTGAAAAAAAAAAAAAAAAATAGCCCAATCATTTGTTTTCCTTTTTCCTTCTTTTCTTTTTTTTTTTCTTTTTTTTTCTCACCTTTTCTTCTTCTCCTTCTCTGGCAGGCTGAAGTTTTAGCCGCTGCCGGCCATGGTGGCGCCATCGTCAGACACAAAAATTTTCGGAAAACATATCCCCACTCGATTTTTTGTGTAGAATCCATTTCTGGATTTAGTTTTTGTAAAAAAATGAAAGAAAAATGTTCAAATATGCGATTTACAGCTGGTCCCTTATTTTTCAAAACTCAACCAAATCACCACAAAAATCCTTGAAAAATATAACAAAACAACCCTTACGAAATCTATAATACAACTGCAAGTTCAATTTAACAAGAAATGGTAATGAAAATGATGAATTAAAGCAAAAAATTCCCTAACTTTAAAAAACCGTTTCTTGCTTTCTAAGCTAAAAAGAAAAACTCAAAAATCTGATTAAAAAAGAAATTCCAGGCCACAAACTAGTCGACGTCCCCTTTTTTAACCAAATATATACATGAAATTGCTCCTTTAATTCGGTTTTCCATCTTGGCATTTTTTCAAACAGTTAACATGCATATACAAAAACCATTCTTCTTTTCCTAATTTTGTTCATGACCTATCCTAAAATTCAGCAACCCAACAACAAAGGAAGCCAGCAAAAGCAAAAGAAAATTAAACAATGAAGCATGGATTTAATATGATAAAAAAACTAAAAATATACCTCAATAAATATGGAAATCTTTCTGTTGAAGTTTTTGATGAAATTTCCAAGCCTTAACCGATAGCTGCCCCTCCTTTTTTTGTTGCGTGCGAGTGTGTTGAGAGAAAAGAGAGGGAGCCGAATGTGAGTTTGGGGGGAGGAAGAGTGTTTTTCTCTTTGTGTGTATTTGTGTCGAAGAAATGTTGTGAGTTGAGAGAAAGAAAACCAAATGGCCGAGAGGGAGTTTTCAGAGTGGACTCCGAGTCCTTTTTTCCTTTTGTCTTCTCGTCTTTTTTGAGGAAGAGGCCGAAAGATTGAATTCAGAAAAGTCAGCCATGTTGGTTGGAATTGTTGTGGTCTTTGTTGAGAGTGCTTATTATTTTTTTGTCATGGCCATCTGCCAATGAGCCGAGAGGGAGTATTGTTGAAGTCTTGTTTGTGATTAGGTTGGTCAAAATGATGGTTTCTTCACCAAATGATAAGAAAGACCTATGAGATAAAATGATGGGTTCTTCCCAATGAAAAGAAAGATGCATGGAATTTGTTGTTGAAGTCTTGTTTGTGATTAGGCTGGTCAAAATGATGGTTTCTTCACCCAATGACAAGAAAGACCTATGAGATAAAATGATGGGTTCTTCCCAATGAAAGAAAGATGCATGGAAATTGAGTGTAAAAATGGGTTAATAGTGGTATTGGTCGGGAAAAATTATTAAAATGTGTAAATTTGGTTATGACTTTTTTTTATATTTTCCTTTTCTCAAAAATAAAACAAAAATGAGAAAAAAAAATAAATGAATAAATAAAATTAAAATACAGGAAAACAGATAGCTCATTAAATAAATAAAAATACAAGAAAACGTTAAAATTTGACAAAATTTTGGTGTCTACAAAGAGAGTCACCACTTAGTATCAAGTTCAGGTGTACCAAGTCACCCAAAAATATTTTTAACAAAATAAAATGAAATAAAACCCTTTTTGACAACTCAGGTCTTTGAAAACAAGCGAAAATAAGTTCGGGAGTCACGGTTAAAGAAATAAAAAAAAGGCAGAGGTTTGATTGACTTAAACCTATGGCACTCTTTCAACCTAGTCTAAATTAGTTGCGAGATTTAGTCAAAAAATTTTCTAATCTAATCCATAAACTTATTGCATTCGGATATTCCTATATGGATGCAAAACTAAATTTAAAGAAGATATCGGGAGGGGTAAAATATCCATTTAAGGTCTAATTGATACTAATCACATTAATTGCGAAAGTCAGGAATAATCCCTTGAAGGGCCACGAGCATGCAAAGATGAGACTTGAAGAAATAAAATTTATAATGTATATATAGAAATATATACATCACCAAAGAGACTGGAATGCAACACAATGGGTACAGGGAACGAAAACTCGTAATACAATTTTCTTTCTTATAAAGAGGTGTTGAAACTAAAGAGCTATAATCACCCATTTCTCATACTTGAAGAGTGGCTCTTCTAATCTAAGCAGGCAGATAAACTAACTTATCTTTTAAGAGATGCAATTCTAAGTATATGGTTTACATATGTAGGGGTAACGAAATAATATAAGGGAAAATATCATACAAATGAGCAAATCTAAAATAAGAAAAATGCATGAAAATGCAATGAATGACACACAAAAGATGAATCTAACGTGTAGATGACCTAAGGGCCTAACATTGGACTAGGCAATTTCTATAAATCCTCACTAGCGAGTAAGGAAGTGAGTCAGGGTCACAACTAACGTTGGACTAATGTGGTGGCGTTGTGCGTTTATAACGCATAATAAAACAAATAAAATATAAATTAAAGCAAGTAAACACATTAGAGTACATAGAACACATAACATATAAACATAATATCTAGATGCAATCCTAAGAAAAGTGGGCAAATCACATAAGCACGTAAGATATATAAACACACAAAACCTATCTATTACAATGGGGGACCTGACCACAATCTAAAGGGGAAGTATAAGAAAATAAATTTGTCTAACCTATCTATTATACTTAGGAACCTAATTACAATTTAAATGGGAAGATATAATAAAATAAACATATCTACTCTTATCAATTATATTCGTCTATCTAATTACAATTTTTTGTAAAAAGAAGAAAAAATATAACCTATCTATTACATCTTCAAGTATTTAAATACCTCTCTAAATAATTACAAAATTTAAACTAAACATACATAAAAATTGAATAAAAATTTAAAATAAATAAATAAATAAATAAATAAGAACATATAAATACATGTAAACACCAAAGAGCACATTATCAAAATTTTGAAAAATAATAGGGATACCTCACTTTTGAAAGAATGGACGATAATAAGAGAAGATTGCTCTATTCATACTTTAAATCAACGAATGGGTCACGACACCAATTTAATTGGAGATATTCAAAAGGAGAACATAAAAAATGCACTAAATTCTCATTCTCATGTCAAACACACAAAGAAACTTAAAAGCATCCAAAAATTACTAGTTAAATGGACTCAGAATTAACATAATTAGTAATTAAATAAAAGAAACAATCACAATAGAGAAATCAGAAAGCCATTAGGGACTAAATTGTATAAATTAAAATTTTGGGGTAAAAAATACAATTTTTTGAAAGATTAAGGGTCAAAATTTAATAAAGATAAGTTTAGGGGCTACAATTAAATTAGAGTCTGAATGAAAATAATCAAATATTTTTGGGCCATAATAAAATTACACAAAAGATTAGGAGCCAAGTTGTAAAAAAATATTTCTGATTTGAGAAAAATACAAACAAGACAATTTGGGCCTCACCATATTAGCCCAAAAAAATGTAAATTGTCTTGTATAAAACAAATGGGCTTAGTTAAAAAGTCCAAGTAAACTACAAATAACACATGCATTTAATTTCATTCCTAAATAAAACAACACCATGCCCAATCAAAAATAAAACACAAGCCCAACCAAAAATAAATTCCAATCCAATTTCTTATTTTTTTTCTTTCCCTTCTTTCTTTCCCTTTTTTTTTCTTCTTCTTCTTCTTCCTTCTTCTTTCTCACCTTCGGCCAAACCAAGCTTCTCGCCGCGCGATTATGGCGGACGTCAGAAGAGGTGCCGCCGCCGGCAACCGATCTCCGATGACCTTTCCGGTCTAATCCCACCAGTAATTTAATCCTTCTTTGATGACCTCTTTTGTCTAATCCCACCAACAATCTCTGGTTTAGACCCAAGCCGAAACAACAGACGGAAAAAAATGAAAACTAATCCCAAACCTAGATTGCTGGTAGGTTAGACCCGAACACAGACAACTAGTGGGAGAAATAAAAATACACTCTAAATTTAGATTACTGATGGGATTAGATCCGAATTCAAACAACTAGAGGGAGAAATAAAACACCCCACGCTTAGATCGCTGGTGGGATTGGACCCCAACCCAGACAACTCGTGGGAGAAAATGAAAATGCATCCCAAACCTAAATTGCTGATGGGATTAGACTTGAACCCCAAATCAAGATTGTTGGTGGGATTAGTGTGGCGGCCCACTTTCCCCTAAGGCGAACCAGAGGGTTGGCGGGTCGCCTGCCTAGCTCTCGCCAGGACTCACGCAAGGAAACTGGCTGAACACCTCCGAAGTATAACTTAAACCATTACAAATTTCATCACCCAAAACAAGCCAATCCTTAGAACGACCAAATTACTAAAATCATAGGTACATTTATACATTACAAACCACAAAGTGAAATTATAAAATTCAAGTACATTCATACAAGTCAAATAACAATTCAGGGTTTGCACTTTTCCAACTTCAAGTGGCAACCCAAGACGAAAGATACATTGTCTGATTCAAACAACATTCATAAAAAGGTAAAGGCAGACTTCAGGTCTCTCGAATGCCAGAACCTGTCCAGGAAAACAAGTAACATGGGGTGAGCTAAAGCTCAGTGGTGCCCCAAACATGCAATCACATAAAACAAGTAGCAAATAATAACTCCAAACTAAATTCAACAAGTAGGGAAGCGTATAACAGCACAGGGTAGGATACAGGGCTCTTAGGAGTCATTCTCCACGAACTTGATCACAATTAACTGCAGTTGACCCTCCGTCAACTTTTACTATCTAAAGTCCAAGTAGATCTTTTTCCTTAACACGCTCCGACCAACTTACTCCCACTGGGCCCGTTCTTCTCACGAGAGGGTTTGGTATTACTCGAGTATACCTTTTTATAGCCTAGTCGAGAGATTCACCCAACGACGTCACAACCAGTGGTTACCAAGTCAGGATAAGAGGCCCTCCCACCCTCAGGTGTGGTACATTCCCTCACTCAGTACTTAGCTGGGGTTTCAGGGTTTTTTTTTTTTGGTACTTGAGTTAGGATAAGAGGCCCTCCCACCCTCAGGTGTGGTACATTCCCCCACTCAGTACTTAACTAATGCAAGCAAGATATTCGAGGAAACATTTCAAGCAAGTCACCACTCGAAAGGGCTAGTGCGATAAAGTACACACTACCCACTTCGATGGATCAGGAAAACCACTTTCCAATTATCACATAACAAGTCAAGAAAACACTTTAACAAGATAAACATAGAACAAGCAAGGACACCCACCAAAAGTGAAGCTCAAAGGTCAAGCTGGGAATCGAAGTCCACGTCCTCGCTAAACCCTAAAAGACCAAGTTTTAAAACTATAAGTTTTACTATACAAGTTCTTGGTTTATGTATGAAAGATTATCTGGTATATAACTAGTTTATCTTCTCAAAATAAAACAACAATTCTCTTAGAGTTAAAACTAGTAAAAGTGATAAAATATTTCGTATGGTTTCTTTAAAGGTACTTTATTTCTAGAGGTGCAAACCAGAACCAACTTACTTCAAATAAGGTTTCTTGCCGAACAAGTTTTCTACGCCTTTTATTTAAAATTACTAAAATCTCGTGTTTTTGACAATTTTCCTCTAAAACAACTAGCCAGGGACAATTTTACGAAAAAATCTAGAGTTTAGAAGTTAGTACAGTTATTTTTTTTAAAGTAATAAGGCTAGTTTAAGCAAAGGAAAGAATTAACTAGTGGGCAAGATTTTAAAAGTCCCGGCACTCGAATTTTAGCATTATCGTACTATACTCAATTTCTATAGCTTGATACTAGGGCAAAATGTTTCGACAAAGCTTGGTTTAAAAGTACTCGAGTTCAAAGGACCAAAACGGACTTCACGATTCCAATTCACTTGCACATTATATTCCAATTTGCCAATATAGCAAAATCACAATTCAAATATCAATTTCACTAGGGTTTCATCAATCATTAGCCCTAGGTCTCAACAAGTTCAATTCTAATAAAAAATTAAACAAAGGAAGTCCAAGACATCAAAACAATTCCAAACCACAAGTCATGGACTTTTCAAGTGCATTTCGGCCAAATCACTTAAACAATTCTACCAAAAATTTAA